TTGATTTACACATGCAACAGAAATAAATATTAACCTCTACACACAATGCATTGCTTCAGTAACAGATCTCAAAAGATTTATTTCTTCCTCTCAAATCCACTGTTCTGATCCAAAAGTGCTCTTCAGGTTTGCAATTTTCCCCAAAGAAACAATATCCTCAAATTGTTTAATTTATTCTTGCTTTTTCTTTAATGCACCACGTTGTGTTTTATTGATTGCTGCCTCCTGTTTAAACGACTGTGAATGTGTCAGTGCATGTTAGTGTCAGCCTATCTGAGCTAGTTCTGACAAGTACCTGCTAAACAAACCTTTAGACACAACAAAATCCTGCGCTGAATATAAACACTAAGGAAAGTTGTGTAGGAATGCCGTCTCTTCATGAAATGTTTCTGCATTAGTGATCTGATGAGCAGGACTTTAATGAGGCCTGGCCAGCTGGCTCCTTCTGACTTTTTATCCTTATACCACAATACATTAAGAGGAGCTTTGCTTTGTTTGAAGACAAGTAAGCTTAAAAGGGAATTCAGGGCAGAAACAGAGCAGCTCTGTCACATAATCCACCACACAAGCAGCCATCTTTCGTCGACAAAAGCTTGCTGAACAGCTTGAGATTCTGAGCAGGTCTCTGTGGGATGCTACTGTCCTCCACAGTCCTGCCGCTCTCTGTCTGGTCATCAGTCCCTGTGGGAGTGTCCAGAGGATTCATCCAGGGGAAGGCACCTGGGTCCCATCCTCTAGCTCTGGCGATAAGCCAAGGTGCCCTGGACTCACCCACTCATACCTTTCTCCAGTTACCTTCCAGTGAAAGCGAGTGGAGCGCGGTGGGGGCTGGGAATGGCAACGACATTATACAGGCGCAGAAGAGGATGGCAGGTCCAGACGCCCACTCCCATGAGCCCTCCCAGGCATTAGTACTGTACATGCCCCCCAGTTTGTCAATGGGAGCCTCCAGATGAATGGGCTCATTTGTCCTCAGACAGTGGGGATGAATTTGTTTCTCGGAGCAGGTGAGCAGGAGGGCCTCAGCACAGCAGAACAAGGCATGAATGAGAGCTGAACACTACCTGTCCCAGGTGAACATCCTGAATGCTCCCTGTCCCCGGTGAGAGGAGACTGACCTCCTTTCAGGGCTGAGTCGAGGGAGGGGTGCTCTGCATGTCCACACCCTATTTCAGACAGCTGATTTGGAAGCAGATTACACCAGAGAAAATGGTATGGCTTATGCCAATTGATAATGGTCTTAGTTTCTGTTACTTTTGGAAATTAAATGGCGTCAGGATTTTGTTTGCAAAGAGAAGAATCCAGACTGTAACTTTGCTGTTGGCAGGGAGAGGCAGGTGGATATCAAGTAAGTGAGGGGATAAACATTGCAGCCACAAAGACATGTAACAATACTGCAATCACTCATCAATCCCTTTCATTATCAATACAATCTACATAAAAAAAACCCTTTGTAAAACCACAAACTGATGCATTGAAGTCCGTCCACTGACGGATGATCCCTGTTTCGTCTCCCTCTTTCACTTTAACTTTTATATCAACAAGCTATCCCACCGATCTTCTGAAAGTAGATTCTAAAGGAAACAAAGTATTTCTTAACCTCATAGTAGCTTTAGTGTTTGACATTTTGTGAAAGTTTGACCAATAAACTCAGACTTTTTAACTAAACAAAAAAAGAGAATGTTCCCAAATGACTTTTAATTATAAACCATGACAATGTTTTAAGCTTTAACTTCATTAAGAATTAGACCTAAAAACTGTGCAAGTGAACGACCATAGTAATCAGTCTCTTTTTGCAGTCTCTGTCAGATCTCTATGCTCTTAATTGGCCCTAATAGTACAACATAAGTATTTCCTGTTTGAACTTCTCACTTCCTGTTTTTCATGTTTTTCATGTTTTCCTCCGCTCTGAAAAGCTGAGTCCTCAGTCCAGCTCTGTGTGCAGCTCTAACTACTGTGTTCTAAAAACCTTTTAGTGTTTGGCCTTTAGTGGAATAAAATCATGAAGGACCATCTCGGTCACGAAAGAGACAATAATGTTGCATGATCAGAAAACGTTTGGCTTTTTCTGACTAATTTCTAACATTTGAAGAGATGATCAGTGAAATTTGACATTCTGGCAGTTCAGGATGCAAGTTATTTCCTGTCAACAGAGATCATCCGTGGTTATCTGTCAGCTTCCCTTCTATGGTCGATGGTTTTTGGTGACAAACCTTTGCTGATCACACCATCACTAAATATTACAGTTGATTTATTTCAGAAGTGTTTAGAGTTGTTCGAGTGTTACAAAGTGTATCCGCGTGGTTTCTGCTAAACCAGGTGTTTTACTAACTGTACCCACCTTTTCCTGTCAGGGGGGTGTTTCTATGAATTTCTCTTCATCCATGAAAAGAAGAAGTTCACCGGCGGGTCTGATCATAGCACACTCACTATGACTCGGTAGACATTAACATTCAAGCGGTGAAGAGCTTGCTCAAGGGTAACGAACAAACAGCTTACCGAGTGACTGAACTTTCTGACAAATAAAGGCAGTAATATATGTTCTGTGTTTTTATTATCTAAATACTGTTCCGTCTTGCAGCTTTAATGTCCTTCTAGGGGTCTGATGAAGGAGGGATGCTTTTGTAGTAAGGCCCAGGCAGAGGTCAACCCCCACTACAACACACACTCTGAGAGACCTGCATCTGAACCGCGCTCCACTTCCTTTCATCTTCTATGTCTCTCTCTCCCTAACTCAACTTTGTGAGGGGATGGTTGGGATACCTTTTGATTCCGCTAATTCAATTTGATGGAAAAACAAATACACTGGGGGAGTAGGAGACAAGAAACGAGTGGGAGTAGTAGGGGGATGCAGAGGGGGGAAAATGAAGAGTTACATGGAGCTCAGAGAGGGAATGAGGGTCGGGGGGGGGTAAACGGAAAAGCAAAGGGGGAGGTAGGGAGTGGAGATGAGTTGAAACATCCAGTTCCAGGTTGAAGTCATAAACCTCTCTGTGCTCTGTTCTAGTTGGCCACCATGTTCACCCCGCCGACGCAGCCGAGATCTCTCCTCTTCATCACTTCTATGGAACTCCACTTTGATTGTGAAGATAAGTAACATCCTATTTTATGGCTTTCATGTCACACAATTCATGATGTTAGTTAGGAGGGGATGTCTTAGTCAATGAAGCTGCAGGTCTAGTGAGGCTTGATAAGTTACACAAAGCCCTCTCATATCAGATTCAGAATGAATTTAATGGGCTAGAAAATGGAGCATTGGTGGCACATGCTGACTACCAACACACTTTGCCAAGCATTCATTTCAAGAGCAAGCAGTATGTCATGTGCCTGCTACCTTAACTCTTTTTAGGAAGCTCTGCTTACCACAAAAACCAACACTGCCTTCATGCAGACATGAGGTTTGTCACACATCATTCTTGTGTACGTGCTGCACATGTGTGTTTATTTCTGTGTGTGTATGTGTTCAGGCGAGGGTAGCTCTGGGAATCGCTGGCTGGGCAGACATGCTGTATTATTTTTGGGACAGTGGCCCCCTCCTGCTGGAGGGCCTCTCTGAAGAGTGCTGGCTCTCTCCGTCTTCCCCTCTCAGGCTCCTGGAGTCAGTCCAGGTCCGGCCGAGGCTCGCTGGCTGCAGCTGCACACAAACCACTGGAGCCGTGGTCTGTACACGGCCCAGCACCCACAGCACTACGCTACACACAGATGTCTGGACTGCTTATTGGCAGTCAAGTGTTACATTTTCACTGGTGTTCAGCAAGTGGATCAGGGGGATCCCACCCCCTTACTGAAAACAGACACTCAGATGCAGCTCTCCCTCCCAGTGTTGTGGCTGCTGTAAGATAGCTTCAGCTGACAACACTGTGCGGCATTCACATTGAATAACAACAAAGCACCTACCTAAATTCCTGGATAAATATTATTTTCAAATCGAAATGATCAAGCCTCTGGGAAACCCCAGCAGATCAGCCTCCACAGCAGTCCAACAGATGTGAGCAGGGTGGAGGGTTCAGGGAGGGGTAGTGGTCCACTTTTAGCTGGGACTGCTTAGTCTGATGGTTTGTACTGTGGGTGTGCGAGGCATTGCTGAACTCAGTGATGATGACCTTAAATTGGCCTTAATCGAGCAGACTCATTAGCATCTGGCTCTGTTCATAGTTTCTTCAGCCCACTTTTTTTATTTTACTGTAATCATTTAAATTGGTGAGAGAGACACAATTACTTGACAGATTGCGAGAATGACGGAGGTTTAAAACAAACAGAATAAGAGGGAGGACCAAAAAAAGAGAGAGTGAAAAAAGATCAGCAAAGCAAAAAGAAAGAAAAAGAAAACGAGAAGAGGGAGCAACAGAGTCGACGCCTGTTTCCTGGCAGCCTCAGCTGCGTGCACATCTGTGTGTGAAGGGTCTGAGCAGACCCCCACGTGTTTGCTCAGGTCGCCTGATTGCCTTTCCTTCCTCCTCACTCTCCCACTAAAGACCCGCTGTCCTTCCGCTCACTCCAATCACCACAGCCAAGCAAGAGGGCCGATCTGACACACAAACAGTGAGAAAAGCTCATGACTCAGTATTTACCATGTTGAAAAAGTGATTTTATAACGGGAGGATTTTCATTGGTTGTTTGGTGAAATCAGGATGAGAATATCTGTGTTTGCTTTTCTCCCATGTGTAGCGAGCATGTGGGCATGTGCACATGTAGGACTGTGTGTGACTCCTGAATCTTGCGCTGGAGACTGCTGTCTGGGTACAATGGTCCAGCCTGAGGCCTCAGCTCCACAAAGAGGCCTTCTCTTAACAAGGCACCATCACAGATAGAGGAGGAGCCTGACCAAAGCATTAGCACGCTTAAAGGATCACAGAGCTTCCCTTGATGCATCTGATATCACTTATGATTTTAATAATCCAGCACTCTTCATTAAAAGGAAAGTTTTGTCTATTGGTTGATGTGTGTGTGAGAATTGTGAAACTGATAATAAGAGACAGACTTAAGTTACGAGGCGGTGACAGATTTTACTTTAGTATTAAACTTTATTTCCTTTACTTTTGTGAGATGGGAAAATGATAAAAACGTACAGCTCAGGGACTTTTCATCTAAGATAGATCAGTGTTTTTCTTTACGTAATAACCATGAAATTCAAATCATAACAGTTTCCATGTGTCTTTGACAAAAGCTTAAAGAGTGAAAATAAATTATCGTAGCAATAATTATAACATCAAATATAACAATAATAATAGCAATTAAGCATTTATAAACACTCTATTCACTGTCCTTTTTCCATAAAAGTCAATTATTAAAAACAGGTGAGTGTGGTGGTGGCGTACAATCCAGCATGTGAGGAGAGCACTGGTTTGTGGGTACTGTGTTATGCTGTGCCTGACTGGTTCATAACAGCGTTGTAGATCTGTGAGCCAGTCTTGAGACTTCCAGCACTGAAGAGTTGGTCCGTCTGGATGACAGACTGGAGATGGACAGGGTGCACATATCTCAGTATATAATGAGATGGTTGTGAAGTGAAAACAGCGGTTCTTCTTAAGACCTCTCTTGAGTCTCCTGTTAATGGGTCAAGGAGAGGTGGGTACCAAAGTGACTTAGTAAAAATAAGCAAAAAGAATGACGAGCGTCTCCATTCACTCCATTCCCGCATGCTTCAGTCACACAGGGACTAACAAACTCCTCATCACATTAGCTCTTCACAAAGTCTGCTTAAGTCCTGCTCTGCAGCGTCCCATCAGTGAGGTCAGGCATGATGCGACCCTCAGTCATTAGTCCAACTGAAGGTCACTCCCCTCCAACCACTGTACATGACGCAACAAGTCTGCTCAGCTCTTGGCAGGATGTGGAGGCCGTGTAGTGTTCATGGTGATGTTTAGGCTCCTTCACACCGAGGAGTCCGGGGTCTAAAAGGACCTCAGTGAGGCTCAGCCCAGACCGGCGAGCGATTGGAGTGGTGGGGGTGACCGAATGAAGGGTGAATGGGCGTGGGAGTAGGCAGCATGTGTCCTGAATGGCTGAAGGGGGGCAGATGACCCATGTGGGCCATGTGACTTGTGAGGCCGGGCGCACCGCCGAAGGGTGAGGCCTTGTCCTGCATGCACTTGGATAGCTCGTCAAAACCGTCCCCAGCTCGTTTGTTCCTCTTGGACTTGCTCGACATCTTGCGGTTGCGTGTCTGGATGCCTTCTTTCTTCATGGTCAAGGGTCTGTTGACCTGTGGAGAACAGCACATTAGTTCAAGGGAACCCGGACAAAAGTTTCACTGACTGTGAGAATGTTTTTTTTCTGTTCACTTGTTCACCAGCTCATAACTTGAAATGTCATCAGTCATATACTGGTATCAAGTTAGCATATACTTCCTTTTGAGGCCAACATCATGAGTGTTAGCCATGTGCTATAAATAATGAGCAGCTGGGGGGGTGAGGGGGGGGGCGTTTTTGAGCTTTTGTCCAATTTAAAACCAAACACAACCAAGTGTCAAAATGAATACATGGGGATGAGGGCTGGCTGGAGCTGAAAGGAGCAGCCTCAGACAAATCCTCATCAGTGTAACCGACGCCGTTACACTGAATGACAGTCCCACCCTGCAGCCTCTCCTGGGAGTAACGCCCCCCATTGAAACAACGATGGATTAATAAAAAAAAGCATAAAAGAACAGGACTACCGGTGGGTTCTGCTCCACAGGGTGAGCAGGCTTTGCTTCCACACTCTCACAGTTTCTCTGCTCCTAAATCGATACGAGCTGTCCGCCCACTTAACCAGTTAACGACCAGCGCACCCCCCCCCCCCCCCCCCCCCCCAAAACAACAACAAATAACAACAAAACGTAATTAAGTGCAGTTTTTTCCCCCCCTTCAAACTACTTACATTGTGCAGTTTATAGTAAAGGCCGCAGGCGTTACACACCGGGTCTCCATTCCCGTTGCGCCTCCACAGGGTGGTGGTGGTGGTCTGGCAGTTTGCACAGCAGGTGCCTGCACGTCTGGCAGCGGACTGAAGGAAAAACAGAAAATAGATGATGAGTAATGAGCCTCTGACACGTTGTAGAGGTCAGCGCGGACATTTGTCTGCACAACAAAAAAGAAAAAAATCTAGGCTAAATATCACGCTTATTTTTTTCCACATAAAGAGCTTATCAATTCTTCGTTCTGTCATGTAAACCACATCACTGACATTTCATAGACTTGACTGACTCTGTGATGTCTTCCTCAGCATAAAATCGACAAGAGACAGACAGATATCCTTAAATTAAACGGCGGCACGCGGAGTTTCGTGAGGTTTCTCCTTTGACTGCTGGACCACGTGCAGGACAGCATCAAAAGAAAAAGAAAAGTCAGACTGGAAAAATGACTTTACTTCTCTAATTGAATCAATTGTATGCAGACCGCAACAAACCATGATCAGAGTTTCTCATTTGTGCGATAAGATACAGCGACGTTGCTCTAAAGAATGTTCCCCTGTCCGAAGGCTAAATATCACAGTGAATTAGTTCAAGAATAAATGCCAGTATTGAAAGGTTACAATACGGCGCTTTTTCTTTTTTTTTAACTCTCTCTATGTCCTGATCCGGGTTAACTGGACTTGTAAGTTGTGTAATACCCGGTGTCCTGCCTGGCAACGTGCTCGTGTGTCCATTGCGGATCAATTCTTCACACATAATAAGAAACATTAGCTTTACATGCGAGACCCCTGCGGCTCTGTGCTCTGCAGTCAGCATCCAAGTTTTTCCTCTTAATTAATTTCAGGTGGACTCTTTGCTATCGACCTGGAAAGCAACAATAACTGCGGACAAGTTATATGTAGGCAAAGTTAATTAAACTGTTTAAATATTGAAAAAGCTGCGCGTTAAGCTTGGACCACTGGTCAGAATGATGAACGAGACGAGAACATAAATCCATTTATTTTCACATCCCCGCCCCTCGCTCTCTGTCTCTTCACACATAAGCGGCTCCTCCAGTGTTGTGATAATCTCTTTACAGTACATGTCAGGCCGGCCACAGAGAATGTAGCGCGCGGGTTGAAGGCGGAAACAGCCGGGAGCCTGACTTCCTTATCTGGGCCGGGCAGATATCCGGATAGGAAACAACTGGATGCCCCTTTGAACACAAGTCTGAAAAACACTTGAGCTGAAAATGCAAAAGCTACAGGCGCGCGGGACGAGCCAATGGAAAATCTAATAGATTTTTCACGAGGAGGAACGACGTGGAGGTGGTCAAGGAGAAACATGGAAAACATCAGCAGCAATGTTAAAATGAAAACAGCCATTTGAGAGTATTTTTAAACCCTCCGAAATATTTTACTGATCTTCATTTGCAAGTTCGAATATCGTTTAATGATAAGGAAGAACATTACAACACCTGTAATGATTATTAGCACGGTTAAATGAAAAACATCTTGTTTTTGTATTATTATTATTATTATTAGTATAGCCTATATAAGGGGTAACACTAGCAACTTGTAAATTGTGTAATTTGAGTCCAAGCCCATAATTAAACTTAAATAATAGCCGCTGATCTAAATCTTTTCATACTAGCCTGAAGTTATTATAAGACTGTATGACCTTCTATGTTTTATCTTATTAACAGGCTTTTTATCAAATCAGTGTCATTTTTATGCATATCTTCAATGCCAGTAATATAGAAATGTATTTCCATTTATACATTTTTTTTTTTTAATTTGTCCATTTCTGATTTTTTATTTTTTTTGACATAAAGTGTCAGCTGGTAATCAAAGCAGGCAACTAGTAAATTAAAAAACAAAAAACACTGCTATTGTCTGTGTTTGACTGCTAAGGATTTAGGTTTTAAGGAAAAGGCATGAGTAATGTAAAAAAGCTATGAGAAGATTTGAATAATTTATAGATAGATAGATAGATAGATAGATAGATAGATAGATAGATATATAGATATATATATAGATAGATAGATAGATAGATAGATAGATAGATATATGCCTTGTTTTCAAACCCCTAAAATAAGAAACTGCAGACTAATGTTTCCAGCTCCTGCAGGGTTAAAGTCAGAGGTAGCTGTGCAGCTCTGCAGCAGTGATACATCCAGCACAAGAATGTTACATGTCCTCCCTGCTTTTCATTTACTCATGCATGGTGTTAACTTAAGCAGCATGGGCATTGGTATCAGTAACAGTATCAGAAGTACCAGCAATAATGATAGCGGGAACAAAGGCAATAGTAGCAGTATTGTAACAGGCCATGGGGGCGGATCATCGGGGGGTGAGGGGGACAAACAATTCCAGGAAGATCATAGGGAAAATATAACTTTCCTGGAATTGTGCTGCCGGCATCTGCTATGTGCTCATATTTGGGATGCCCTTTTCTCGGGGTGAAGCGATGGATTGAGAAGCGGGACTCACCAGTCTGCGTTTGGGCTTGATGAGGGGTCGGTTCTGGCCGTTCATCTTGTGGTACAGTCCGCAGGCGTTGCACAGGTAGTGGCCTGTACCATCCCGCCGCCACAGAGGGGTGGAGGTGGCACCGCAGTTTACACATTCGCGGCCCTCTGCATAGAGTTCAAGAGGAGACAAGAAAAATTTATATAATTAAAAAATTCACAATCCGGCAGAAGCAACATTAAGCAGCTGTCCAGTCCCATCGGATGACTGTAGTGCTTGGAGACCTTAGATGGCTCTGTAATATGAAGTTGAAATCTGTCCCATGACAGAGACAATGTCTATATCACTCTGCAGGTGTGCACGGCTGTCACGGACACAGACACATACATGTAAACTGATCCAGAGTTTGGAGGCCAGAGACAGCCAGAACATGTCCAGAGGTGTCTAACAAGACGAATGAGACACACCATCAAATTAGGACTACATTATTTATCAATGTGGGCATCCATGAGAGGAAACAAAAGTGTGTGGCAGTGGTATTAAATGTTGCGGTCTTTAATGAAGTAATCCAAGTTGGCTGCAATTAATAATGTTAATATGGTAGTTAATGCATTGTTATTCGGATCAAGTTGTATTATTATTAAGCAGTTAACGTCCTCCTCTATTTAAAAACCTGCTGTTTTAGTTTCTCCTGAACGCTCTGGTCTACATTCAGGTTTGGCTGACTTCAAACAGCCTGTTGCTAAACCGACCGATTCATTTAATTCAAGTCTCCCTCTCTCCCTAGAGCTTCATCTCATTATTCCTGTTATAATGCCAGCGACACCCAAAGTCCCACCCTCGTCCCACAAAGGAATCTGACCTGAGCAAAAAGCTATGTGCCTTTTGAAATGCATCTTGCTGCCTTTTTATTGTACCTCCCTCACCTTCCTCTTCTGTGTGTCGCAAGTACAGCAGGCACATTAAAGTGTTTCATTAGCACCCAAAATATTCACCAGCTATGACTGGTGTGTATTAAGTCTTGAGCAATGTTTAGTGTTGAAATAAGAATGGGAACCTATAATTCAAACAGTAGATACAGAGAGGATGAGGAGTTTTGGTTTGAGGCTGGTTCAACAGAAAGCCACAACACTGTGAGGTATCTGTGCTGACAGCTGAAATGTCATTGTGGCATTTTGTACAACAGTCAATCACCATTACTGGCACTGGACATGGACTTTGATAGATAAGAGGCTTTTTAATGCTGTAGCTGATATGTTTGTGTTGCCGATTCAGACACGGTCTGGCCAGATTCTTCTAAATGTCACAGTATAACATTTCTCTGCTCACAATCACTCAGATTATCTACCAGTCAGCGTTCACCAGATGTATTTAAAAGCATTAGGACAAAGGATGACAATTCTGGCAATTAAACAACTACATTTGTTGCCAATAATAAGTCTGAGTGTCTCTTGTTTTCATTTTTGTCCTTTAATTCAAAGAACAACAGCTGGAACAATGTAGGGAAATTACAAGCACATTACCAGACTTAGTTGTTTTTCAAATGTCGGCACATTAATGTCAGACGTAAAGCCCAAATAAATATCCCACTTAATGTAGGCTAGTGTAATGAACCTGGTGTTTATCCAGACAGACAGAATTGATTGTCTCAAATCTGGCTTTAAGAATTTTAAAGAAATGAAAAAACAAACAAACTTAGAATTACTGAATGGACTGTTTTCCAAACTGTGCCATGATGCACTCAGCCCTGCTTTTATAAAATAGACTCACATACGCATGCTCATTGTGGACCTGGTTGCCTGCACTTCGTGTCAGAGCACTGGGCCAAGGCCATGCTTAAAAACACAAACAGCAGGGCTCTGTCGCCTGGGCTTTGTTAGTACTGGGGAGAACTGTGGGAGGGGTGGAGGTCGTGATTTGTTCACTTGGAGGTATACAGGATATGGCAGGAGCCAGGGCGTCGTGACTCTTTGATTTTTAAGAGCAATAAAGGCCTTAGAAAAAACAACAATCCTCACGAAGAAGAAGCCACAGTTTGAACGTATAGGCTATATCGAGGAACTTGTTCAAAAAGTCGATGTAAAAGTTTTGTTTTAGTAACGAGAAAATGTCAATTTTTATTTGCTGGTTGAACTTTAAACATGTTTATTTTTTCGAAAAATAAAAAAAGATGTTTATGAATGTTTATCTTAATTAGTAGGTCTAGTCCCACTTTCTTTCTCTTTGAGATAGCAACAGGAACCTTTGATATTGAGCACTATGGCTTTAGCTGGACATTTAGATAATACTTGACCCCGATTAGTCTGATGAGTTTCATCTCGGGGTTGAATAGTCATTTGAAATGGAAGCGGTTCACAAGAGGCAAGGAGAGCGATGGGGCGAAGATTAAAAAACAAAAAAAACATGTCAGGACAGGTTTGAGAGGAGAAGTGAGCGATATTAAAATGGAAGGCTCCTTCTCGTCACTGAGCCATCAGAGCAAAGTCGTGCTAAACAAACATTCACTAACCTACACAAATTTAAAATGGGGCTAAAAATTTTAAATTAAATCCTAAAAACAAAATGTGCGACAAAGTCTTTCCAACGAAAAATGAAGCTGCTAATTATAATTGATTAATAAACAGTGACAATTGTATCAAAGTTTTTCAGTTTGATCTGGAAACCCATGTGAGACTCACCTGAGCTCGACCGGGCTTTGCTTTTGCACTTCGGCGTGAAGCTGGAGGATGACCCTCCGAGCAGGCTGCCGGGGTGGAAGAGGCTGCCGCTGTACTCGTGATGAGGCAGCGAGTAGGTCGGGTAGGTCGGGATGGGGTGATGCGTGGCCTGGCTGTTCATCGAGGCAAGGCCGCTGCGGAGCGGACTACAGCTCTCCATTTTCATGCTGTCCGTAAGCGGCACCTGGTACTTGATCGACTCCTTCTCGTCCATCCTGGTGGAGGTCGGAGAGGTAGGGCCGGGGTCCGGGGACACGTCCTTCGGAGGTGTAGGAGGGAAACTGTAGAGGTGCGGGCTGGAATGGGACGCCGGAGTGAGCGAGGCCACCGGAGCCGTACCGGTGCTGCTGCTGCAGGGGTAGCCGGAGCCGCTCGTGTGCAGGCCGGGTTTGCTGAAGTGGCTCACCGCCCATGCGTTATGGTGGTGGGCAGCAGACAGGGCTGCTTTCCCGGGGTCCAGCCAGGAAATACTGGGGCTGTGGATGAGGTGTGGTCGGCAAACCTGGTTCCCAGTGAGGCGAGCTGAAATCCAAAAGAATACATATATATAGCCTACTTCATAGGATATTTCGGAGCTTCTTGACACACGCACTTTTCACACATTATTGCTTCCAATTTGCAGAACAAAAACATTTCCTTACCTTTTAAATGACTTGAGTCCGACATTTAAGTTCGTATTGGGAAAAAATACTGTAAATTATCTTATAGGCTATAAGTCCCAATTTTTTTTTCTCACTTTTGGTAAATTATCCAAAAGTAAATTTCCTTAAAGAATTCTCGAACAACTTAAACTCTTTTAGACAGAGAATATTGGTCAAAGTGGACTGAAGAAAACACACTGAAAAGTGTCCGCTCGTCAGGACAGTATCTTTTTATCGACTGCAGCTCTCGGACTAAAGATTGTTATTAGGGAATTTGCGGTTTTTATTTTATATCCGGGAAGTGCCTCTCTCTCTCCCTCCAGAAACCCCTGCCCCAACACAGAGGGGTTAAATGACATACTTCCCTTTCCCCTCGCTGTCATTTGCTAGAAATTCCTTTTATGTTGCTGAAGTGGCCCAGAAAAGTCAAGGCGCACTTTTCATCAAACACACTGCGTGGATTGTTTTAGTAGGTTATCTTTAATATGCCTATAATCACGACACAAAATAATTAAGGTATGCTCTATTTTTTTCAACACATGATTTATATAGAAACGTTAGTATTATAATTTTAATTCTAAACGTATATTCCTCATCACATTCCCAGATTAAAGTGTTATTGTGAATGTGAGCGCATCTCACCGTGTGCTTGGCTGTATGTGACCCTGGCCCGGGAGTTGGTGTAGTAAGGGTTCCCTTGAGAGTCCAAGTGGTTCAGAAACATGTCAACTTCGTCCTGGGGCAGTAAAGGCGCCATGGGCTCCATGTAGTTGTGGCTCAGACTGTGATGGTGTGAGTCCGGGTGCTGGCCGTTCAGCACTGCGTGATGGTGCGCCATCCACCGAGACTGATCGGCTGCTGCGACCTCCATGTCTGAACTCTTCTCCTCTCAAGTTGTCTGTGTATGCAGGGCAACTTTTAGGCTGTGTTTACCTCCAAATGGAAGTTTAAGTCCTCTTGTAGGCCTAGTCCTTTGGCTGTGGAAGTCTCGACTGTGTTTATTTACTTCAGAAATAGAATCCGTAAACAGCCCGGTCTGCTTCTTTCTCCTTAGTTATTAAACCTGCAATGAAACGAGAACAAATTGTTACTTCACAAACTCACTTTCAACGCATCATCCTTTGTATATTTATCCAATCATAGTGTTGGACACATGTCAAAACTTTGCACACACTACGAGTCCCGATGAATAAAAATAGAAAACAAAGTAACCTCATGCGTTCGGTTTCACAATGAAAGCAAAGCATTCCGTCTCCGCACAAATAGAAATAATAGCCTACAAATGTTCCCCCTGGTTACCTGGTGCAACTGCGATCAGCTGACGGCAAACACAGCTCTGATGTGTATACCTCCTGATCCATGCGGTGCTCAGGCTCATTAATGAGATGTGGCGCAGACTGATGCGGCTGGCGCCAGTAAATTCCCATATCAAGCAACGTGGGGCGGAGCGTCGCTCTCGGCCAATCACAACCAACCCGGCTACAATTGGCTCGCTGCATCCTTGCTCGCCGTCTTTCAATTTCCATTTCTCTGCACCGAAAAACTAAAAGACTTATCAATCAGCAGAGTAATTTCTGAGGGGTCTTTCTCTCGTGTGAGGCTCACACTGAACGAGCAATCGGCCCGTGATAATCTGCTTTTTAGAGGCAGTTTAAAGCCTCAAGACGGGCATATAACATGAGGGGAAATTCAGACTGCACAATACGTGGCTTAATAGTACAATTATACGGCTTTTTTTTTTTTATATTGTAATCTATTTTAAGTCGCCCTCACCTGTTAAAAAATACCTGCAGAAAATGTTCCAATAAAAAAAGTTATTTCAGTTATTTCAAATGTCACAACTACATGCTAATTGTTTTATCTTTTATCTGTTAAAGCTGCTGATTTAGAGTCGCATCATAGTTGTCAGTGTTGTTTTTTTGCAGACGGCTGTTATGTAAATAAACAGCGTCTTCAGCACCTCTAAAACCAACAGAGGAGGAGTCGATTTATGACCCCGAAATTGGCCCCATTGTTGGGAGCGCCTAATTGTCTTTAATTAGTATAGCAGGACATTCCTCTCGTGAAAACAGAGGTTTTTGTCTCGCGGACAGAGCCATCAAACACAGTTTGCATACTAATGGCGCCTCTCTCTCACTTGGTGGCACCAGGGATGGACCCAAGGCCTCACCTATGAAAACCAGTCAATCATCAAAGTGTCTGTAAACGCCCTCATTCAAAACTAACAATACAAATCAAGGCACAAATGAAAAACTTGAATAGAAGCTTAATTTATGTCCATCATAATGGTTATATAATTAATTGAGCTAATTGATAAACGCCCGATTCTGCCATTGTGGATAAACTGTTGGGACTGTTGTGATAACACCGTTTAGCCCCCTCTAAAAAAATTCGAATGTTTTACCTCGTTTATTTATTTCTTTACCACTTTTTAATTATTATTATTCTTTTATTTTAATCTGGTATTTCCCATGCTATTTTATTTTTATATAATCTATTCTCTAGCTGCAGTGCGTGCGTAAGATTAGTAGTCCTTGCGTTATTCGCTCCATGCCTGACGTGCTCCTAAAGATGCAGGCCTACGTGCATCGTTACAGTGTGAGTAAATCTGCCGTGTGTTTTGTGTGTGTATTTGTGTGTAGCGTGTGACTGACAGGGAATAATTGGAGGGTCTCGGAGCCTAGACTGGCCGCCTTGCTGACGCCTGGACCTGACGTCACAGATCTACGGTGGGGGCTGAAAGTTGGTGGGGTGTGTCACGTGAAGCTACTAATACCTGGACAACTCCTCATAACTGTGATGACATGGTTTGCAAGAAGCAGGTCATTAGGATGTTATAATGTTGTACCAACCTGCTGTGTGTGTGTGTGTGTGCGTGTGTGTGTGTGTGTGTGTGTGTGTGTGTGTGTGTGTGTGTGTGTGTGTGCGCTCCTGTGTGTGCGTGCGTGTGTGTCAGTCATCAGTCATTAAATCACTGGCAGGTTGCCAGGGGCAGTGAGTTGATGAGCTCAGCCCTTTGAGCTTGTCAGCTCCTAAAATCAACAAATTAGTGCATGTGGGGCAGCGGAGGGCTGGCTACCTGAATAACTGACATTCCAGTGAAAAAAAGCAGCACGGTTAGCAGGTAGAGTGAGAATATTAATATGACCACTCCCTTTCATAAATATTGCATTATAGCACACAATAGATCAATTACCAGTCTTGTACTACTTATATGTCGAGGCTATTTCATGCTGCAGAATAATTGCCATCACATACACTTGAACCTGGGGTAACAAGGACTCCCTCTGTTCCAGCATGAATGGATGGACAGTGATGCTCCCGTTACTGATGCTAGTTCTGAAAGGAGTGTTTCTTTTTCTCCACAGTTACATGTCACTACAGCCTGCGGTGGTCAGCCTTTGCGTTTGTACTGCATGTGCGCTGGCTGTGCTCAGCATCAGGGCCTGTGAGAGCGGGTCAGGCTCAGGCTGTAGCTGCTGCACCAAGCCCATTGTTGTTTGCATGTTTGCCAAATGGATTACTCAGCAGGATTTAGCTCCTCTGTAATTTATACCTTCATTAATCCCATTTGTATCTGTGTTGGAACAAAAGATGGGAGAGGGTGATGGAGGGTTAGTGGAGAGTGTGGGAGGTGTGTGTGTGTGTGGGGGGGGGGGGTTCTTTTGCTTTCCCTCTGTCTTTCTCAAGGACACAGCAGTATTGTTTCAGCCAGGGGTGCTATCCTTGACTGGGAAACAGCATCCCTCTCACAACACCTCCTGTGCTGGGCGAGAACTGTGTACAACAACTGTACGACTGCAGGTACAGCTGCTAATGAACAACAAGATTATCATTCCGATCCATGCTGTTATTAAATGGGATTGGCTTTATCTACCTGTTTGTTCCCATTGGGCACGGCCATCCATCATTATCCTGAGTGGAGGTGTGTGACTGTGTGAATGTGTGTGTGCTGGGGAGGGAAGGGGGGGGGGGGGGTGAGGAGCCACAGTGGGGCTTGTGAAGATAAGCAGAGCCAGAGAGAAGAGAATGACACAAACCAGCTGAAGCATTATTGTCCCCTTTACTCACGGCTAATTAGATCGAGCCAGGGCACCGGGGGGCTTTATAGTCACAAGCACCCAGACACAAGACCCTCTAACTGCTGGGATAGGAGCCTGGATGCTGCCATGAGAGCCGCACTCCCTCCCATTTATGCAGTTTGAGTACAGAATAACAACATTTCAGAATAATGCAGGACATAGTTAACAAGAGGAGAAATGGAGCAGATGATTCATAGATTTATAGCCTCAGCCTCTTTTGAATTATTCTGAAAAAGTTCTCTATGGCAAAAAGGCATAGTATAAAAACAGACTGATAAGAGTGGCAGACACCCTTCAAACATTGTTTTTTTTAATCTGCACATTCATTCATCTTTCCCTTCATTCGTTAATTTAATTTTTTTTTTTTTTTTTTACTTTCACTGCGTTTGCCTTCAAATCAAAATGATGCTAACACACACTCTATTCTCATTCACACATCACTCCTGTACTCCTCATTGTCTGAAGCACAGAACACAAAGCGTCATGCACAGGTAATAGAGAGAGGTTGCTGTATAGACTCCGGCTGCTGCATGCCTGTGCACACTCTGCTCTTCCATTGTACTGATGTGATTGCTCTTCCTGCTGAAGAAAGATTTCTGCTCAAGTCCTTTATGCATTTGAAAGCGTGACAATTGAATGGGCTACTTTTGGACACTAATATCATGCTGATGATATAATCCATTTCATGATCGAGGGATTTTTATTTCAGGGAAAATAACTCCTTGCCAATGGCAACAGAGAGTGACATGAAATAAAATTGATAAGCTTACTGATGGTAATTACGTGAACACACGAATTCTCCGAATTTTTAGAACAAATTCCCCATTTAATTTGGCTGTGCATGCATTTTTGATTTAGACATATTACTTCTGTTATTGTGCAAGCTCATTCGAAAAAAGAAATTGATTACAAACTGGTATAATAACAAGCCGACAGTGCCACTTAATACATTATCTTTTGAATAAATAGAACATCTTTACAATGCATGCTGCACTGCTTTAATCGTGCTGCAGATGTTAGGGTTTACAAACCTCAATAGAATAACCTAAAAAATGTAAAAGGTACATGTAAATAGGCTATGAACTACAATTTTTTTTTTTTTTTTTTTTTTTTATGAATTAGCACAAAAATCATTCAATCAATAAAAGCTCGACAACATAAAAAGGAGTGTTTGTCACAATATTTGTGATGAATGATAACCCTCGATTAGACCTTTTTAACAGTTGCAATTAGCCTACATATAGCTATAAGAGTATAGTCTATTATTATTTTAAATTACAAACAACAAAGGCATTTTCATGGAACATTTAAAACCTGCTCTGATGATATCTCACTGACCTGCACCAGTCTCGATATGTGAGCGGAGCGGCTGCGCTGTCCGAGTCAAACCAGTGAAAGCATCGGTTTCATCGCCTCACTTCTCTTCTCTCCAAAAGACATCGAGGGAAAAGAGCGAAGGGGAAAGCTTGTTAAAGATGCTGTCCTGCCAAAAAAAAAAGGTTGCTGTCTGTATCACCAGCCTGCAGAGAGCGTAACGTATGTCTGCGCTTAGTGTCTCCCTCTACCCCTCTCTCTCTCTCTCTCTCTCTCTCTCTCTCTCTCTCTCTCTCTCTGTCCAAACCTTTGAGAATATGAGCAAAAAGTTGAGCGGCTGTAGGAGAGGCTGCAGCAATACAGCGACGTAACTGCGCGTCAGCCTGCAGCCTGTTTCCGGGTCCCGTTAAATGGACAGAAGCTGGCAGAAGCAGTAGTAGGCTACCTGATAGGAAAAAAAAGGTGATTAATAATTCGCCCCTTACACGGAGTGTCAGCATATTATCTTTCATAAGGATCCCAGTCACCCACACTCAACTGCAAAACCAGTGACTGATTTTTGAAACTGCCTATGCTATTCATTAATGTAGAATTTTGTTTTGAGTACATGCTTAGACACATGGGTATTTTTATTTTATTTCTCAGTTCTCAGGGCTTAGCCTATTATTGAGAAATAACTTCAATTAGTACATGACCTGTCGGGGGTCAACGAAAGTCCCTGCATGGTCCCCACATGTCCCATGAAGATGATACAGGCAAACTTAGCCTAAGATAGAAATGACCAACATTCACAGCTTGTGGCCACAGAAAGCATAATGATGGTGAATACATGTTCTGTGATGTTCAGCCTGTCGTGTGTACATACAATAAGTGGTATGCTTGTTATTGACACTTGTTTTTTTTTTTTTTAGCTTAAATGTTGTGTAACTTTGAGAGCTCCGCTTCAAATTGACCTCCAGAGATTTTACTTCATGACTCGAACCCCTGCTCCTCCCCCGCCTCCTGTGTTAACTGTGTTAAACAGAAAAAAAAAAGCCCCCCTCCCTATGTTTTTTAGGCCTTTATATCCCCCACACTAACAACAACTTTGTAAAACATGCAAAGCCCCTGAAATCTCCTGCACGCGACCTGGGCCCGTGCGCGGCGCTCGAGCCAGGCAGGTGCAAGGGGCGCGAGGACCTCTGCAACTCGGAGTTCGTGCTCCCCAGAGTGAACACTCACACAAAAAGAAGAGAAAGGAAAGAAAAGATAAAAAATAAATGTGAAGTCGGACTAAATTAATAGCATTTCTTTTAATGTTTAAAACCACTGAAGCAAAGATGTAAAAGCTCTAAATCTCGATATTTGGCATCTTTTGACGTCCAAGGAACAATAACTTCAGAATAAAGAACAGGCTTAACTTCTATAAGTGCGTTTCGGTTTTTCGATACACCATAGCTCATACTAACCTTCGAGGCTTTTTAAGATGATTATTATTTTTTTTTAAGTAAAGGGTGTTAAATTGTCCACTCCGGAAAGAAAAGTATTCTAGAAAAGCAGTGCAAGCTTGATTGTTGTTTATAGTCTCTAAATAGGAGGTTAATTTTACAACGTGTAGACTATGGGGTACTTATTAATCCTGAAATATTTATTTGTAAACACAGTAGCCTACATTTAAATCTATTTAAAATCAGTAATCTAAGAGCAATGAATAAGTTGGGAATCAACGACTAAAATATCTTTCAGATATCAATTCAACCAGGGCAGACGTTCATGGTCCAATATTAAGATAAAAGTTAATACTTATATAACATCAAATAATTTATTTTAAGTCATGTCAGGATATTATCTCGGTAGACCCTGTAATAACAACCTCCAAATGAGTCTATTATAGCAAATGTTGTTTTGTTGTATGTTAAGAAATGACCGATTTTATCAATCAGCACACCTAAATCAGAATATACAATATATTGTGTATGTTAGGTTTGTGTTTGTGAACTTGCTTTGTTAATCAATTTTATACATGTTCTGCACGAGACTCCGTATGTGTGTGTGTGTGTGTGTGTGATTGTGTGTGGACGTGTGTGGACGCTTTTCTCTGCACACCGCAGTAGATGCCGGGGCCCTTCTCCCTCTGATTATTACCGGGGGTAATATTTCATCGGCACCACGCAATCTTTGTTCTCTGTGAAGATAATAAATGGCCTAATCGTTATCAGCAAACTGCTGGGGGTGTCAGCACCGACCGGGGCTGCGAGCGGGGTCCAAAGTGCTGCTGAATAAATTGGTGTTCCTTATCTCTCACTCCCAGATTATCGCCGCCTTTTCAAACTTGCACAACAAATACATTCAATGCATCTAATGCATCATTTGTGGAGGGGGGGGGGTATCCCGCAAGTTGATAGAGACAGATAGGCACAGGGAATGAGAAATATTTACACGTTTTATACGCTGCTGCGCTACTGCCAATATATAAGCCCTATTTACCATTAGGGAGTTTATTGGCCAGACTTTAGGTACACACACTTTGCATATCAATACAAGCTTATAAGACATACATCACTGTCATATGATGCTTATCTGTCTGATTAGTCCCATTACTACTGCAAGGTTTAGATCCTTTTATATTTCGGCTGGACCACCTTTAGGAAATCCACGAGTTTTATAGTTTTGTGCCGTTTTTCAATTCCATTATTTTTATTTTTATTTGTGCATGTAAAGTACTAAAAACTAAAAAGTAATAAAAACTAAAGAACATGAAAGAAAAAGTAATGACAAAGTTAAGTTAAAATGAGTTAAATAAGTTAAAATGCAAACTTTGATCACTTAATAAAGTAAGATTTAAATATTTTGGGGGTAAATTTAGATATCACAATGAAACGCAGTTCACGTGATAAGCTTTGTTTCCATTATTGTACTTGTGCAAATGAAACGCATCGAAACGGTTGGTATTATCTCCAGTTTCACAAATAGGCTCAGCATGCACCGTTAGTTTTTCTCTGATTCAGTTTTGTCCTGTCAGTAAAGGCTAAACGCGGGCCTCACTAAGGCCTGTCTTATCTTTTAAATCAACTGCTGGTGCATTTGGTTTACATTATATCATTACCAATGTGAGACATAGAAAACCTACTATATTATTAATTGATGTCCTGCGCGTGAAGTTTAATTCAACGAGCACGCCCCAGACATTCACTGATGTCTCGTGTCTTTCAATGGTAACTGATTTTCAACAATCAAAAAATAATACTTAAGGCAAAGCGTGGTAAAGTGATGTTATGTTCATAGTGCAGTATTTATGAGTGACACTTTAAAAAAAATACATTTCCCCTATACACACACACACGCGCGCGCGCGCACAAACACACACTCCCTCTTTTAATACCGTGGCATCTCCACCGGCCCCGGTGCTCTGATGGTCTCCTAGACAACCGAGATAACGATGCAGCAGTTTTCCATATCGGTCCCGGAGTCTATTATAGCTCAGGATTAGCTCTCTTTCTGAAAAGGTCAAACACAAAGTCACCAAACCTACGTCTTTTCCACCCCATATGGTCGTTGCGCGTATGCACACTTATGAACATGCATGTGCCATTTCATCTGCTGCCATTAAACTAATGGTACTACGCATTTTCTGCGCTTAAAAAAACAGTAATATATATGAGAGTCTACCGAGGAGGTAGAAGAGCCCTGTATCCACAGCACTGAGGCGGAGAGTTTCACACTGCAGGGGAGAAGCAGTGAGCTCACAGAGGAAATAATGTGCTGTTATGTAGCGACCCCTGGCGACCAGAGGTATAAGCAGTAGCCCTACACTGACAGTGCTTTATGTCACTTTATGTTTGGGAATGCTATGTCTGCATGAAAGATTTAAATGATAGAGCAAGTAGAAAAAGTAATAATCATTAGCACAGAGAGGGAGGGGGACTGCTCCACAGCTGGAATGTTCCAGCTGGGATTCCCGGTGGCAGGACAGGAAGTTAGAGGACCTCTGACAGGAAGTGTGTTACCAGGGAGGGCCAGCATCGGGTGGAGAGAGAGAGTGTGATGTTTCCTGTTGGCTCTCTCCACATGTTTGAACCCTTACTTACTCTGTACACTCTTGTCTTTCTCAGTTCACTTCACACCCAACACAAATGCAAATCAGCATGTGATAGCTTCTAGCAGCATCTGCCTGTACTGACAGTGTTAATATTTAGGAATGCTATCAGAGGACAGTGGTAAGCCAAGACAGTAGATCATGTATACAGGACAGGATTGTGTCACAGGATGCAGATGTCACCACATGAAGTGAAACTTCCTGCCCATCAAAGCAGCCAATGCCAGTTTAATGGACTCACTTTTAGCAGCCCACAACAGAAAGCAAGTACATTTTCATGGAAATAAGGCGAGAAAATGCAAGAAGGAGAGATGCTGGAGAAGATGAGTAGAGCAAGTGAAGAGTGAGATTGTAGGTGGAGATGTGATGGAGCGATATGTGGATTGCAAGAGGAAAAGTCTCTTTGTCTCTCCTGAGCTCAGTGGACAATCAAAGTTTCCTATCAGCTCTGGAGTAGGGGAAATTGGCTGCCCTGGGAAGGAGAGGGCCACTCTCAAAGCCAATGGGAAGTGCCCCTGTCACTCTCATCAGGTCCAATAGAGAAAGTAGGAAATGTGTGTGTGTGTGTGTGTGTCAGAGCGCACATACTCAGCTGAGTGCTTTTTAAGGAGAGAGCAGCTTTGTTTCATTTCCCTTCATGTGATCAAAGATGATACAAAGTCTAAAGTAGCGTCAGACCTTCATCTGCTGCTTAGCCTCTGCACTGACGCACACGGGTGCTTTTTTTTTTTGTGTGCAAAACTTGCCCTGAGAAGCATGACCATCAGTGCTTTGATGGAGCGCCATGTGGCAGAGATCAGCAGGTCTTAGTGGGAGCTGTGGACAGTTGCACACAAGGGCAGCAAGGAAAGAGGATTAATGTCTCAATGATACAAATCCATACGGCAAGGGAGGTTGACATCAGTATGCACAAAGATATATGCCCAGCACAGAGGCTTTGAGTAAAAAAGTACATGATGTAAACATCTGCATGATAGAAGTCAACCGTGGACTTTGAGGCTAACATTTTTTTGTGCCATCCATCTGTCTTGCTCTCTCTCCTGTATGCCAGACAAGAATGCATCTCTCTACACCCAGGATCCAATCCTCTGTT